TAGGAAATTCATTCTTTGAAAAAATGATAAACGTGTCGTACCAAATAAACAAGAGCTTAAGACCACTTCATGTCAAAATACCGGTTCCATGTGGTCAGCGAACTTAAGCAACGTAGATCCTGATCAGTGCCGCTTGGGTATGTCTGGTGTTGTAGGTTTGGATAAGTGTTCGTAATTGTTAATCAGCTAATCAGTTTCAATTCCAAATAGGTTCGTTATATTCCCCAGCTATGAGTTAAATAGTACTAATAGGACATACTAGGAGAAGGAAAACTATTTGGTGATAACGTGATAGTTGGGCTGTTCACTTTTAGTTGCTGAATATTTGAACCCTCACACATCAAAGAAGATCTATAAGACATACACTCAGTTTTGTTTCTATTAGGTTGGTGCAAAAATAATGACGCAATAATGTCGTTTTTTGACGTATTTTCTAACGTCAAAAAAAACGACATTATTACGTCATTATTTTTGCACCAACCTAATATATATAAGCTGCTTTTATTTTCCATGTTGCATTTTGAGTGCACATTTGAACTTGCAATTTGTTTTTTTGTTGTTTTTTGGGGGGTATGTGTATATATATATATATTTTGTCTGTCCTTTTGTATATGTTTAATTGTCTTTTTTCTTTTCTTTGTTCATTACCGAATATGTGTTTTCCTATTCTACCACTCTTAACTTTTATTTATTAAACCCTCTTTTTATCTTTATATCTTTGCCTATGTAAGTAATATTTTACTAGTTTTCATTCGCTTATTAATACTTTCAGACTTGAATTTGTGTGGGTTTGTCTATGTCTATGTTTTTATTAATATGGAGATTTTCCAAGCGTAGCTTAGATGTGGCACAAGGCCGAAAGTATGGGACACCCAATGAGGATCGAACTCTCTACTCAGTCGTAATCGTTCTAGCTTGTTAACCAACAACCTCGAGGTGTCCTTAATCAAGGAGTCTTTATTAACGTATGTGTGTACGATTGCTTATATATGCCCTTCATTGTATGTACATGTGTCTGATATTATATTTCCTTTTTTGATTCGTGGACATCTATTTCCTGTTTCGTCCTGTGTTTTTGCGTGTTTATATATCTAAATATGTCTATGTGTTTGTATATTATAATATGATTGTGTATATATTGTCATTTGCAAAATGTCTTTCCCTGTCCATATCATCACTTCAAATGTTGTTACAATATTTGTAGATCTTTAGATTAGCGTTTGCCCTAACTGAGATTTTGGTTTTTCGATAAAAACAAAATAAATAATTAAATGTATGTATTCCTTCCTCAGTTCCTTCTTTAAATAATTCTATAATATTTTAAACTTAATACATGTTAAATTTAAAATTCGTAATTTTTATTTTGAATTTTATAGTAAAATTTAAAATTAATGGGAATGATTTCTATTTTAATCTAACCCTAACATGAAGTCATTAATGCTTATAACCAAGGTTCTGTGTCAAGTTTTTTTTTAATTTTCAAATACTTTTTGATTAGTCGTTGTAACTTATCTAACAGCGTTTCCCCCTATCGAGGAGTGTTTAGTTGATTTGAATCT